AATGAATATGATATTGTGTATATGGACTTCAGTAAGGCTTTTGGACAGGGTCCCACATCAGAGACTATTGAGGAAAATTAAAAGCACATGGAATAGGAGGAGAAATTTTTTCCTGGATAGAGGCATGGTTGACAATAGGCAGCAGAGAGTTTGCATAAATGGGGAGAAATCAGAGTGGGGTAGCGTCACGAGCGGTGTTCCACAGGGGTCAGTGTTGGGCCCCCTGCTGTTCACAATCTACATAAACGACATAGATGAGGGCATAAAGAGCGACATCGGCAAGTTTGCCGATGACACCAAAATAGGCCGTCGAATTCATTCTGACGAGGACATTCGAGCACTCCAGGAAGATTTGAATAGACTGATGCAGTGGTCGGAGAAGTGGCAGATGCAGTTTAATATAGACAAATGCAAAGTTCTAAATGTTGGACAGGACAATAACCATGCACATATAAACTAAATAATGTTAGATCTTAATATTACGGATTGCGAAAAAGATTTAGGAGTTCTGGTTAGCAGTAATCTGAAACCAAGACAACAGTGCATAAGTGTTCGCAATAAAGCTAATAGAATCCTTGGCTTCATATCAAGAAGCATAAATAATAGGAGTCCTCAGGTTGTTCTTCAACTCTATACATCCTTGGTTAGGCCTCATTTAGATTATGCTGCACAGTTTTTGGTCACCGTATTACAGAATGGATATAAATTCTCTGGAAAATGTACAAAGGAGGATGACAAAGATGATCCCATGTATCAGAAACCTTCCCTATGAGGATAGACTGGGGGCCCTGAAACTGCACTCTCTAGAAAGACGTAGAATTAGGGGGGGATATGATTGAGGTGTATAAGTGGAAGACAGGAATAAATAAAGGGGATGTAAATAGTGTGCTGAAAATATCTAGCCTAGACAGGACTCGCAGCAATGGTTTTAAGTTGAAAAATTCAGATTCAGGAAGGATATAGGAAAGTACTGGTTTGGTAATAGAGTTGTGGATGAGTGGAACAAACTCCCAAGTACCGTTATAGAGGCCAGAACGTTGTGTAGCTTTAAAAATAGGTTGGATAAATACATGAGTAGATGTGGGTGGGTGTGAGTTAGACCTGATAGCTTGTGCTAACAGGTCGGTTGCCGTGTTCCTCCCTTAAGTCAATGTGACCTGACCTGTCTAGGTTTGGTGCATTGGCTTAACCCGGGAAAGGAGACTTGGACCTGCCTCGCATGGGCCAGTAGGCCTTCTGCAGTGTTCCTTCGTTCTTATGTTCTTATGTTCTTATGTTCTTATGTCCACTATTATTCTTCCCATCAAGATAAACTTAAACTGTTTGTTTTCTCATCAATGTTTTTGAGAGCTTTACGTATTTGTAGTCCAGAGTTCATAGATGAAGAAATATCCAAAATTTATGAAATAGCCATTGATCTGAAATACCCGAGAAATGTAATTAATAAATCATTTAAAATTTCTAGAAAAACTTTTTACAACCCAGAAAGTGACAACCAACCCAAAAATCTTGACGGATATGTCTATAAGATTCCTTGTAAAATTTGCGATAAAGTTTATTACGGTCAAACTGGTAAAAGTCTCGAACTTAGATTAAAAGAACATAAATATAGCATTAGAACTGGACAAGATTCCAATTCTCTATTTATTCACGTGAGAGATTTTAACCATCCAATTGATTTTCAAAAAGTTGAGAAAGTTGTATCAATTGAGCAAGTCCATGATTGACAGATATATAATTGAATCTTGTTTCATAAAATGCAGTTTTGAAAATAATATGAGTATTTCCTTAGGTTTATATAAATTAGATTCATTTATAATTAATAAAATTTGGTTAGAGTTTAATAATACATTGGACAAATAATAAACCTTATTTCTTGGGTAGAATAATTTGTTAGTGGGATGTCGTGAGAACCTGTCTAGTTGGACCAGCGGACCTACTGCAGTATTATTGTTAAATTAGACACATGTGCAACTCTTGGGTATCTTTATCGAGGAAACGTTTCGCCACACAGTGGCTTCACCAGCCCATACAAAGGATAAACTTGAAGAACAGGAGGAGAATGAGGTAATCAGTCCCTCAACCTTGAGTCGATGTGGTCAGTCCATCAATCTTGAATAGAATACGGCATATGAGCGGAGAAGCAGCTTATAAACCGTATTACAGGAGAGGTGCAGCAGTCGTAGGTGGTGTCACATTTATCCAATGTGGAAGTAGGTCGTGCCCAAGGGTTAGGCAAGCGAAGAATTCCCAAGTATTAAGATCCCAAGAAGTTGCAGTGTCTGACAGGATTGTCGGTTCTGTGAACCATTTATCTACAATAATAGCTCTAGGTCTTTCCTGTTTCAATCTGCACATCATCAGGAGCTTGCAAAGTTGCAAAAAAGGAGGATGTCCGAGCCACCACGATCCCAGAGGATGTATTCACTGGAGTGAGAGAGGGAGAGAGAGAGAAAGAGAAAATAACAGCAAATGCCCCCAGGTATACCAGTACCTATATCCAGAAAGGTTGAATATTATAGCAATAGAAAAATCCCACAAACGCTGATACTGTAACAGCAGCCTAAACAAAAATAACGTGGCAATTATCAAAAATTTCGTCAGATTCCGCTATGATATAAATTATTTTACATACATGATTATATTGCCAGTTATATGGAAGTCACTGGCAGTTATGGAGTACCATCCATGAGAAAGTGGGTCCATTTAATTAAAGGGACGAGAAAACGGGATCATTTAAACGGGAAGAGGGGCTCATTAAAACAAACTCATTTAAAGAGGAAAACATCTATAATTACAAGGAAGACGGCCACAGTTATTCATCCCACATGATTCTGAGGCAAATTCTGGTTCAACCTTTAAAAAATGCAGGAAAAATAGACCCTAATTCCTCGGTGTGGCACTACATTTAAGACAATCCAGTGCATTCTTATATGAGCCCAATTTTTGACTGTGTACTATTGCCTCATCCAAAAATGCATCTAATTTTAACGAGCCATTGATATTGTATAATGAATGTTTATCATGCTTAATAATTGCTGATTCTACAATATTCCTTTCAAGCCAAGAGGAACAAGGGAAGTTGACTCTTGCTTCCTGCCAGTTTGCCAGGTTATTACAAGCGCTAATATGGTTGAAAATCGCGTTCGATTCCTGTGCTATGTGTATCGAATAACGGTGTTTTGATATACTAACTTCTAAAGACTTTTTTGTCTGTCCCACATAGGAGAGATTGCAACGACTTGGACCATTTACAAGTCACACTAAAGCAGGAAGGTGAGGGAGCCAGTAACTGGAAGATCATCAATGAAATCAACACTTCCAGCTAGAGTGGGAGGAAGAGGATTTTGCAAAGCAGCACAGATAGCATATACCCACATTTCTACCTTTGTGTATGGCATCCTGGTAACTAGTGAGAGAGATAGTGCCAGAGGGCTTTGAAGGTTCTTTAGGAATTCACGAACCAAAGTTTATCGAGATAGCAGGGCAGTGGAATATCCTTGCAGAATCTTCAAACAGATCAACACCTCTTAATCACAATCAGTCCCATAGGGATAGCCCCATTCTGGAACAAAGTCATCTCAATGCTCAACAATGCATCGAAAAATAATAAAGATCGCACCTCCAGCCGTGAGGACATCACAGCTGTAGATTTCGTCTCTGATGTCCCTAATTTCTCCTTGGGCATTCGCCTCAATCCTCAGACCAGTGACACTGATACTGCACCTCGCATAGCCGCTTCCATTTTCGGACCCATTTTCTCAATTCTGGGCGTTGTAAATGTGTATCTGCTAGATTTAATGAGTAAATTGGGGTACTGGTTGCCATTCCATAACTTAATAAAATCAGCCGCTCTGTTTGAAATTTTCAAAGCTACGGTATCTTATTTAAGGAAGTCTCGAATTAGTTCTGCGATGTGTAGTGCCTATTATTTAATTTCATTTAAAATTGGATAGTATTCCTTTGTCTGGTGTTTCGGAATGATGCTGGGGTGAGGTTATTGGATCCGGGGAAGACCTCACTCTCTCGGGTCGGGCAGCAACACAGGAGTCTCTGGTTATCTTGTTTTCATCTCCCTGTAGTAATAGACCTAAGCATGATTTAACATTATAATCATTATTAACACTACATGCAGACTGATTTACTCCAGAGAAAATTATTTCATTCCTGACCGGAGATACTCACATGGACTGACTACCTAAATTTACAGCTCAAGTCCTGGGAGCAGTGGGAAAGTGGAGGACCTCCACTGGTGGTCCCCAATATTACTGAGTTCGATCACGAACAGTAGTTTCGTGCATTATTACTGAGTTCGATCACGAGCAGAGGTTTCGTACATTTAACGTGATGAGTAATTCGCGACTCTGCAGCTGTTTGAAGTTCAACATTTATTTTAGCAATTGTTTTGCTGAGAGTGGCGGATTTTAAGAAGCAGAAATAAATAAAGATTTAAAGTTATTCTTGGCCAATAGAAATATATAATATTAACTAAGGTATTATCATCCTGGTTCCTTGTTTAAGGACTGAATGAGTTATTAACAAAACGCTCACAATACTCTCCTCGTTGGTTAAAGGTTATGTTTAACAACATAACTCAAACATCAGTAAGTTAAATGTTATCCTTACACTTACATATGTTCTCCACCTGCCCTAAATCCCATTAGAGAGAAATCCAGCTTTCACTACAGATCATTATTTTTGCCCTTCCAAACTTATGTGTCGTCACGTACCACTCAAAATACCGTTTAATACGGAGTAGGAGAATGGCACTACATTAATTAATCTGAGATGCAATATGCGTGGAAAATTGTATAAGCTCTGACGGATTAGTCACTGGAGCGCATTCAGCGAACGGAGGATCAAGCCTCCACTTCTTTAGCCGAATGACGCACGCGGGTTTAACGCTTTACGAAATGCAACAAGGATCAAGTAATATGCATATGCGTAGGTCACCCACCTATGCATGTTTGGACGAGCATGTCAGTGTGCTGCGGCAGGTGGTGGAGGGAGGGTTGACGGTCTTCACTCTCTCACCAGCCCTCTCTCACCACTGAGCCTTTCCATTACAATTCAATGCTTCTAGTGGGATGTGAACAGGAACCCGAAAGCTACTATTTCATAGTCAAATACCAACCTTATAATGAATTTTAAGAACTTCAGTTCACAAGCTGCTTACAAAATTCCACTGCCACGCAGATTGTTTTAAATAACAGGTAAGACACTCACAAAATCTATATCTTTTAAATATAATCTGAAATTATGTAACCAACTTATGTTTCTCTGTGTTTTTATGTGTATAACTTTAAGGATTTTATCGGCTTGACGTGTTCACTGACAAGCGAAAAAATAGCGAAAGATTTTTTTTTTTTTTTCAAATTTTGAGGTCGGATAATCCCTTTACTTTTAGCAATTGAAATAAAAAAGTTTGTGATGTAAATAAGTCAAGGTCTTGCACACCTTGATTATGACTGTGTTTATTCAGTCAGTTGTGTTTGTTCAGTCAGTTGTGTTTGTTCAGTCAGTTGTGCTTGTTCAGTAAGTTGTGTTTCTTCAGTCAGTTGTTCAGTTCAATTCAGTCAATTGTGTTTCTTCAGTCAGTTTTGTTTGTTCAGTCAGTTGTGTTTGTTCAGTCAGTTTTGTTTGTTCAGTCAATTGTGTCAGTCAATTATGTTTGTTCAGACAATTGTATTTGTTCAGTCAGTTTGTTTCTTCCAAATATGTTTGTTAATACATGTTTCAACCAATTAAAAATTCTCGATTATCTAATCACCAGCTATAGCTAATTGCTCACTTGATTTAGACAATCCGAGTGCACTTTCCTCACGTCTTTTAGCCAATCAACTTACATGTTACTCACATGAGTAAGCCAGTCAACACGTTCACAGCAGCAGAGACTTTATATTAAACTACATTTCGCACTCGAGGCAACATTTCGGGGCGAAACATCGCCAGTATAATACTCTCATATGTATGTGCCTCTTGCCTATCACATGTCCAATAACTTGATATAGATACAGTTAGTAAAGTCACCTGCAGAGCAAAACGTAGTAGAGCAAAACTTTTCGCTCAGGTTCATGTTTCGCACGCCTGGATTTTCACTACTTTCTTATGAATAGATTTACAATGTCGGGCAAAAATATCTCTCTATGAATCAGGTGATTCTCCGGGATAATGATTATATAAGAAAGACATGATTCTTAAAGATAATGATGATAACATAAAGACATGATTCTTAAAGATAATGATGATAACATAAAGACATGATTCTTAAAGATAATGATGATAACATAAAGACATGATTCTTAAAGATAATGATGATAACATAAAGACATGATTCTTAAAGATAATGATGATAACATAAAGACATGATTCTTAAAGATAATGATAACATAAAGACATGATTCTTAAAGATAATGATGATAACATAAAGACATGATTCTTAAAGATAATGATGATAACATAAAGACATGATTCTTAAAGAGAATGATGATAACGTAAAGACATGATTCTTAAAGATAATGATGATAACATAAAGACATGATTCTTAAAGAGATTGTGATAACGTAAAGACATGATTCTTAAAGATAATGATGATAACATAAAGACATGATTCTTAAAGAGAATGATGATAATGTAAAGACATGATTCTTAAAGATAAAGATAATGATAACATAAGAAATACATGATCTTAAAGGGAATGATGATAACATAAGAAAAACATGATTCTCCAGGATAATGTTGATAACACATTGAAGACATGATTCTCCAAGATAATGATAACATAAAGACATGATTCTCCAAGATAATAATAACATAAGAAAGACATGATTCTCCAAGATAATAATAACATAAGAAAGACATGATTCTCCAAGATAATAATAACAACATAAGGAAGAACACGATTCTTCAGGATAATGATAAAATAAGGAAGCCATGATTCTCTAAGATAATGATGATAACACAAAGAAAACATGATTCTGCAAGATAATGATGATAATACAAGGCAGACATGATAACTGTCGACAGACATGAGTCTCCTGGATACTAACAACAAGGTCATTATTCTCAAAAAGAATACATAATAAGAAGAAAGTTAAACGAAGAAAAATGAATAAAAAGCACAAGTTATGGTTGCAAGTGATTCTCTAAACAAAACCGAAGAGAAATTTCAACTCGTGTACTAAATAATTAAGCACCGAGTTATCTTCTTTTAAATAAGACGTGTGTAGAGTTTGGATATGTCTTAGGCGATGTTTCGCCCTGGGAAGATTCATCCTTCCATTGGATTGATATCGACTTTCATTAGGTTACCTGTTGTCGTTCCCAAGAAGTCACCGCCCATTCCCTTCTTTCCCTCACGTAGGAAAGTGCTGGAAAACCATCTGGTCCGCACTTGAAGTTGTAAATAGGTCAATTCGAAAATGGCAGAGCTAGCCAACACGCAGGTTTCAGAGACCGATGGGGAGGTACGGAGCAGCCTTGAAGCATCACTTCACTTCCTATGGTGAAGGTTGACTGCCTCCTCCTGTGACCCGGATGCTGGATGACCCCCAGCTGGTTTTAACGCTTCCTTTGCAGCCACAGTAAGAAACAATAATAATAATTTCAGCAACAACAACAGCAGCAGCAACAGCCCCATTAATAACAACAATGGCAATTAACCACGGAGGAGGAACGATATGAGAATATCTAACTAATCTTAACGCAAAGTGGCCATGTTTATCAATAGTGTAGCCCGGTGGGGAGCGGATGTGATTTAAATTTATATAAGCCGACACTGGCACTCCATGAAGTATGATTTATTCATGACACTTTTTAGGTAGTAGGTTGGTAGACAGCAACCACCCAGGGAAGTACTACCGTCCTGCCAGATGACTGTGAAACAAAAACCTGTAACTGTTTTGCATGATGGTAGGATTGCTGGTTTCTTTTTCTGTCTCATAAACACGCTAAGATAACAGGGATATCTTGCTACTCCTACTTACACTTTGGTCACACTTCACAGACACGCACATGCATATATATATATACATACATCTAGGTTTTTCTCCTTTTTCTAAATAGCTCTTGTTCTTTTTTATTTCTTCTATTGTCCATGGGAAGTGGAAAAGAATCTTTCCTCCGTAAGCCATGCGTGTCGTATGAGGCGACTAAAATGCCGGGAGCAATGGGCTAGTAACCCCTTCTCCTGTATACAATTACTAAAAAAGAGAAGAAGAAAAAACTTTATAAAACTGGGTTGCTTAAATGTGCGTGGATGTAGTGCGGATGACAAGAAACAGATGATTGCTGATGTTATGAATGAAAAGAAGTTGGATGTCCTGGCCCTAAGCGAAACAAAGCTGAAGGGGGTAGGAGAGTTTCAGTGGGGGGAAAATAAATGGGATTAAATCTGGAGTATCTGAGAGAGTTAGAGCAAAGGAAGGGGTAGCAGTAATGTTAAATGATCAGTTATGGAAGGAGAAAAGAGAATATGAATGTGTAAATTCAAGAATTATGTGGATTAAAGTAAAGGTTGGATGCGAGAAGTGGGTCATAATAAGCGTGTATGCACCTGGAGAAGAGAGGAATGCAGAGGAGAGAGAGAGATTTTGGGAGATGTTAAGTGAATGTATAGGAGCCTTTGAACCAAGTGAGAGAGTAATTGTGGTAGGGGACTTGAATGCTAAAGTAGGAGAAACTTTTAGAGAGGGTGTGGTAGGTAAGTTTGGGTGCCAGGTGTAAATGATAATGGGAGCCCTTTGATTGAACTTTGTATAGAAAGGGGTTTAGTTATAGGTAATACATATTTTAAGAAAAAGAGGATAAATAAGTATACACGATATGATGTAGGGCGAAATGACAGTAGTTTGTTGGATTATGTATTGGTAGATAAAAGACTGTTGAGTAGACTTCAGGATGTACATGTTTATAGAGGGGCCACAGATATATCAGATCACTTTCTAGTTGTAGCTACACTGAGAGTAAAAGGTAGATGGGATACAGGAGAATAGAAGCATCAGGGAAGAGAGAGGTGAAGGTTTATAAACTAAAAGAGGAGGCAGTTAGGGTAAGATATAAACAGCTATTGGAGGATAGATGGGCTAATGAGAGCATAGGCAATGGGGTCGAAGAGGTATGGGGTAGGTTTAAAAATGTAGTGTTAGAGTGTTCAGCAGAAGTTTGTGGTTACAGGAAAGTGGGTGCAGGAGGGAAGAGGAGCGATTGGTGGAATGATGATGTAAAGAGAGTAGTAAGGGAGAAAAAGTTAGCATATGAGAAGTTTTTACAAAGTAGAAGTGATGCAAGGAGGGAAGAGTATATGGAGAAAAAGAGAGAAGTTAAGAGAGTGGTGAAGCAATGTAAAAAGAGAGCAAATGAGAGAGTGGGTGAGATGTTATCAACAAATTTTGTTGAAAATAAGAAAAAGTTTTGGAGTGAGATTAACAAGTTAAGAAAGCCTAGAGAACAAATGGATTTGTCAGTTAAAAATAGGAGAGGAGAGTTATTAAATGGAGAGTTAGAGAGTATTGGGAAGATGGAAGGAATATTTTGAGGAATTGTTAAATGTTGATGAAGATAGGGAAGCTGTGATTTCGTGTATAGGGCAAGGAGGAATAACATCTTGTAGGAGTGAGGAAGAGCCAGTTGTGAGTGTGGGGGAAGTTCGTGAGGCAGTAGGTAAAATGAAAGGGGGTAAGGCAGCCGGGATTGATGGGATAAGATAGAAATGTTAAAAAGCAGGTGGGGATATAGTTTTTGGAGTGGTTGGTGCAATTATTTAATAAATGTATGGAAGAAGGTAAGGTACCTAGGGATTGGCAGAGAGCATGCATAGTTCCTTTGTATAAAGGCAAAGGGGATAAAAGAGAGTGCAAAAATTATAGGGGGATAAGTCTGTTGAGTGTACCTGGTAAAGTGTATGGTAGAGTTATAATTGAAAGAATTAAGAGTAAGACGGAGAATAGGATAGCAGATGAACAAGGAGGCTTTAGGAAAGGTAGGGGGTGTGTGGACCAGGTGTTTACAGTGAAACATATAAGTGAACAGTATTTAGATAAGGCTAAAGAGGTCTTTGTGGCATTTATGGATTTGGAAAAGGCGTATGACAGGGTGGATAGGGGGGCAATGTGGCAGATGTTGCAAGTGTATGGTGTAGGAGGTAGGTTACTGAAAGCAGTGAAGAGTTTTTTACGAAGATAGTGAGGCTCAAGTTAGAGTATGTAGGAAAGAGGGAAATTTTTTCCCAGTAAAAGTAGGCCTTAGACAAGGATGTGTGATGTCACCGTGGTTGTTTAATATATTTATAGATGGGGTTGTAAGAGAAGTAAATGCGAGGGTCTTGCAAGAGGCGTGGAGTTAAAAGATAAAGAATCACACACAAAGTGGGAGTTGTCACAGCTGCTCTTTGCTGATGACACTGTGCTCTTGGGAGATTCTGAAGAGAAGTTGCAGAGATTGGTGGATGAATTTGGTAGGGTGTGCAAAAGAAGAAAATTAAAGGTGAATACAGGAAAGAGTAAGGTTATGAGGATAACAAAAAGATTAGGTGATGAAAGATTGAATATCAGATTGGAGGGAGAGAGTATGGAGGAGGTGAACGTATTCAGATATTTGGGAGTGGACGTGTCAGCAGATGGGTCTATGAAAGATGAGGTGAATCATAGAATTGATGAGGGAAAAAAGAGTGAGTGGTGCACTTAGGAGTCTGTGGAGACAAAGAACTTTGTCCTTGGAGGCAAAGGGGAATGTATGAGAGTATAGTTTTACCAACGCTCTTATTATGGGTGTGAAGCGTGGGTGATGAATGTTGCAGCGAGGAGAAGGCTGGAGGCAGTGGAGATGTCATGTCTGAGGGCAATGTTGTGGTGTGAATATAATGCAGAGAATTCGTAGTTTGGATAGTTAGGAGGAGGTGCGGGATTACCAAAACTGTTGTCCAGAGGGCTGAGGAAGGGTTGTTGAGGTGGTTCGGACATGTAGAGAGAATGGAGCGAAACAGAATGACTTCAAGAGTGTATCAGTCTGTAGTGGAAGGAAGGCGGGGTAGGGGTCGGCCTAGGAAGGGTTGGAGGGAGGGGGTAAAGGAGGTTTTGTGTGCGAGGGGCTTGGACTTCCAGCAGGCATGCGTGAGCGTGTTTGATAGGAGTGAATGGAGACAAATGGTTTTTAATACTTGACGTGCTGTTGGAGTGTGAGCAAAGTAACATTTATGAAGGGATTCAGGGAAACCGGCAGGCCGGACTTGAGTCCTGGAGATGGGAAGTACAGTGCCTGCACTCTGAAGGAGGGGTGTTAATGTTGCAGTTTAAAAACTGTAGTGTAAAGCACCCTTCTGGCAAGACAGTGATGGAGTGAATGATGGTGAAAGTTTTTCTTTTTCGGGCCACCCTGCCTTGGTGGGAATCGGCCGGTGTGATAATAAAATAAAATAAAACTTTCCAGCAGTAAGTGCCCATCATTATCTTGGTTCAAAGGGACCCTGAAATAATTGCTTACTTTTTATCAATAAAAATAATAAATATAAATTTCTTCGTCTTTTTTTTTTTTTTTTTGGTAGCTTCCAAAATTCTGGTGTTTCAAATTCCTCCCTTCAAGGTAGGGGCGTTTTAGCCAAGGGATTGGAGATATCCTCTATCTTATATCAAGATCGCTTGACTGTTACTACCCTGGCATTGTACCCGTGAATAAGCAAATAATAACAGCCGAGGAAAAAATGTGTTCAAGACCTTTTCATTGGTAATACTGTAACCTCACGAACAATAACAATGGTGCGCCTGAGACAATAAAGCAAGTAGAACAGTTAAAGTGTATGGAACAACAACGTTGTTTTCAATACCGACAAGTTGATGATTAAGACGCATGTTCAACATCTAGGTAGCTTTACTGGAGAAACGTGTCGCCTGCGTAGCAGGCTATGGGCAAAACGTCTTCAATAAAGACTTCCAGGAGTTCCACATGTCTTATTTATCAACTTGTCGGTTTGGCATCCCTTCGACGTTATGACACAGCAACAACATGGAATCTTGATATAGAGGATATCTTCTACAAGTCTATTGCTAACCTCTGGCTCACCTTACAGACATGACGACTTACATTTCACTAGTGGGCCCCGCCCAACTGTGACCACGTCATAAGCTGCTACGTCCCTCAACATCTGCAACTCCATTGCTCATGCTGTGACCCTATCTTCTGAGACTCAACTTCTACTAGTCGGGTACACCCACATGTGATATTGCCTGCAACTGCTGCACCTCTCCTCTGGCTTCAGCCTATTTGTCTTCATCCTCAAGAGTCTGTGTGAGTTTTTTGTATTTTGAGAGTAAATATATTTTGTTATACCCTTCATATGTACGGTTTCAGAATACATAGTTTCGACTATACAATGTGTTTGTTTTCTGTCCATCCGTCGTAACACCAAATTTTACATATTTGACTTGGGGACCCGTCATTCTGGGCACATCCATTAGGTATATGTATGTTAACTATAAAGAAAGTCACTCTCCTCCCTTTCTGTAGCTACATTCATTAGGTACCGTCTGTTCAGTCCTTTATTGCTGTACAATAATAAATGTTTGAGGCCTGAGCACTAACTATGGGAACTACAAAGCTGTGTTCCCTTCCCCTTGTACTATAATTGCTTTGGTTTCCAGCCTTGACAAACTTGGCAGCAAGATATTCTGGACACTCTTTGTGAGCAATTTTATAATGTGATTTAACTTCGGTTGTTTTCCTCTGTCTTCTACATTCAGAATATTCGGTCATTGTAATTCATCCTGGATTACTATTTTGTTCTCGGTGATTTGTAGTCTACCTTTTTTTTTTTTTTTTTTTTTGTTATGGCAGAGTATTATAAAGAGCAAGAGTAATGTATATGGCATTGTATAAAAGCTGGATATAGGGTCCTGCGAAGCCTTAGTAGGTTGACACTGTGCCCTTCTGTAGAGGTTCTTAGTCTGTCATTCGCTTTCTCTACTACACTCTTTCCTCTCAATTCTCCTGACATGCATGGGTCAAAGGGGATTTCAAGATATTTCACTGAGGAAACTGAAGTGATGGGTTCCCCATTACACTGCACATTAAAATTATTTACACTTTTCAGTTTATTTTTCGTGCCAAAGAGCACGGATTTCGTTTTTCGGAGGTGTAACGATAATTTGTTGTCTACTGTCTATTTGCTGCAGAACTCTAGTTCTGGTGATAGTATATTAGCTATATCTTGTGGATCATTACCTGACACTAACAGAGCACTGTCATCTGCACACACCAGAAACTTACACTTGACAATGTTGGGCATGTCATTCACATGACATTGCGACAATAAAGGACCCAGAATACACTGGGGAACCTTGTAAGCTCTTGGCAGGGGTTCTGTTTCTGTCAATCTTGACAATTTGTTTCCTGTTGGTCAAGTAGGACTTAAACCAGTCTAGAGAACCTTTGCCGATAGCTTGCAGCTTTTTACATAATATATTGTGGTTGGCCGCATCGAAGGCCTTTTGCAAGTCTAAGGTCACCATACCAATCTCATTTCAGTTCTCAGGTAGTCCATCAGATTAATTAGTCGAGTAAGATCTCCTAAAACCTGATTGGTAGCTATGGAGAATGTTTTCGTCATTAAGATACTTAATTACTTGACAGTACACCTCCTTCTCTGGAATTTTGGACATCACACGGTATAAGTGGTGATGCACAAATTTATTATGTGCGCAGTGTGAATTAGCAATTCAGCTTCACTATCTTTTAAGAACTTAGCTGGAATGTTATCTCAAGCGGTGCTCTTAGTTGGGTTTAACTTGCTTAGTTCTTTTCGCATGAAGTCATAAGATAAACCTACCAGTTGGCAACAGTTTGGGGTGATGCCTTTATTAGTGTAGTATGTTTACTTACTAGTGTTGATGCGACTGTTGTGTAGTATAAATTAAAACAATTTGCCACTTTAGTTGTTTCATGTCATACCTCGTTTTCGATATTCACCACTATATTAGATCTACAGGTTTATGCTATACCCCTAATGTGTGGATAAATGGTTCAGAGACCCGACAACATTTAGGTATCTTTAATTAGGAAACGTTTCGCCACACAGTGGCTTTAGGTATGACCTACTTCTGCATTTGGATTTGTCAAATGTGATACCACCTACGACTGCTGCACCTCTCCTGCCTACAGTATATAACCCACTTCTTCGCACATATGCTGTATTCTTCTCAAGATTGATGGACTGATTACATCGACTCAAAGCTGAGGGACTGATTACCTCAAACTCCTCCTGTTCTTTGTCATTCTCCTTTGTATGGACTGATGAAGCCACTGTGTGGCGAAACGTTTCCTAATTAAAGATACCCAAATGTTGCATAAGTATCGAATTTATCATCCTTTTTGTATTTTAGTTGTTGCCAAAGCTTTCTGGGGTTATTCTTGTATTCTTCGATTTTTGAGCAATAGTACCTTGCCTTTGTACTCTGTTCCTTATCCTTTGGAATACGATTAACTCTGCAGTTTTCTGTTTGTTAGCAACTGATCCCTAAATCTGATATTATTTAATATCTCAGTAGTTATCCAGTGTTCACTTCTTCGTTTAATCCTAACCTCTTTAACTGGTGCAATATTATCAAGGGTTGCAGTAAACTTGGTTTTGAATGTTTTCCAGGCATCAGTTACGTCTGTCACAGTCCAGTCACTATTTTGTAGTCTACCAGAATTTCTTGACTGTAGTTTCTAGTTTACTTCATTTTTATTGTCCTGTGTAGGTCTTGCAGTTGTGCTCATTTCTGTACAAGACTCTCGAAAAGTTTTCCAAAAACTGATCATGGGTGGAAGGGGGGGGGGTCGGTAACTAGTTCCTAGTAGGATGAGTTTGGTCTTGGCCAGCAGCACCTCAAACCGGAGCTCACGGAGGATGTAAACAGAGTATAACAGATACTCCATAATAGTGAACTGGAGCCGTTAAACGAATTTTCACTTGTAATTTGAAATATCCGTATTAGCGAATCGCCGTAAGTGACGCGCCTTAAAGCGGGGCCCTACTGTACATTTATAATATCTCAGAACTTCTGTATAAATTACTTAGTCACTCAGGATTTAAAAAATTAAACCTAATTCGATCATTTAAATATGTTTACAGTACTATGCTCTATCATGTCCCCTTGCTAAGTAAAATAACTGACGTGAGTTTCGTTACGATCAATCCATTCGTATTTATTATAACAGGAAAACAAAATGTCATGGAAACTAGTCCATAAAGCACCTGGAATGTAAAGTTTGTTAGTGGTAAAAAGTGGAAGGCATCTGATGACTTTCTCTCAGTGATTCGTCTTATGTTGTACCAGTGTTCGACTTGGTTAAGCTTTATCTCCTAGGCTTTCATTAGCAAGCACTAAACCCCTAAGGGGGTTATGCAGAGCATGGGGAATGGGAGTTAATTAGATTCGATCCAAAGGAAACAAACGAATTTTATTTCTATAAAGAGGTTTACACAGCATATAATACAATTAGGGCGACTGACATATATTTAATCTACTTTATAGCTAAGGCCTATTGTTTTGCTAGGTATTTTTGGCAGCCTTAAAACTAAATTATCATTACAAGTATATGTGAATAAATATACATAGTTTTTATTATACCTGCGGTATTTAGAAATTCAGGCGGGTAGCTCTAATTCCCAAGATCAAGAGCCTTTTATCTGAATCAAGGAGCTCCCATCAAGGGTTTTGTATTTTCTCAGCAGCCCTTTGTATCTTTTGAGTGTTGAGCTACAGTTCATGGGTCTTTTGAGAGCTTCAAACAACTCATACAAGACTTTTTGAGTATATACATCTAAAACTCTTGTGCTCTTGAAATTATATATTTTCAGCTCCTGAACTTCTTATGAGGGTTGGGTCATGGTCCTTGGTTCTGTTAGGAAGTTGATCTGAAGCTCCAATATTTATATATCTTTCTAGTTCAGTCTCTTGCTGCCCTTTACCCTTTCACCATCCACTGCCCCGCTGTTATCCGTAACCTATTACTCATCCATCTCCCTTTTGCCACCTGATGCCCTCGCTTCCTTCCTGCCCTGCAGCGCTGTATAGTCCTTGTGGCTTAGCGCTTCTTTTTGATTATAATAAAATCCAATATTTATAGAGGGTTTCGAAGTAGAGCTACAAGGCGGTGTTTCTTTGGTGGTGTTTCTTTGACAGTGAGAGCGATGGTTTGCTCGGCTCTGGCATTCGTCTCCTGGATGGCGTTCAGTACTATGGCTCTGCAGTATGCCAGCGGCAGTGAGAGACGGGAGGGGACTAAGGCCAATAGCCCTCTTGAATTAGTGACCGGCTTCCAGAAGACAGACGGCCTAAAGAAGAAATTCCATGTGTTGAAGAACAAGGTGGATAGTTCACACGAACGTGTGGGCGATCTGGAACAAACTGAAGGCTGGGAGAATGAGGAAGGAGACCTGAAGAAGCATGCTGAAATCTGGAATCATATGGGCCGCTTTAAGCATGTGGATCGTCTGAAACACGAGGAAGTGAGGAAAGAGGTCGCGGTGAAAGTGCAGGAAGTGGTGGAGCAGCATCTTTCTAGGTGTCACCTGGTCTTGGCCACCACCACCCAACTCAGCCCAACCTTCACCTCGATTCTCAGGTGAGATAACAACTTCCTTCTCTGTGTAGTTCATTTTCCTTCTTCTTTATTATCATCTTGTTATCATTACTATTAATAATAATGCTTACAATAATAACTGAGTGGAGGTAACTAGACTGGGTGGGTCATTGGGCTAATCCAGGGGGGGGGGGACATGGACCTGCTCTGCATGGGTCAGTAGGCCTGTTGTAGTGTTCCTTCTTTCTTATGTTCTTATGTTCTTATGATAACCAGAAATGCAGGAACATGATAATAATAAATTTAACGTAATAACACTAAGATAATAAAAATACTTTCCAATTCCAACTCGGGTACTATGTAATACTTTAAGGATGGAGGCAAAATCCTACAATATTCTTTCCTAATATTATTTTCATGAAAAATAAAATTTAAGTTTTCACTGACAAGAAAGTGGTGACACAAATTTTTTGTGAGTCACTCTCCACAAGAAGTTTGTGGATGCGTGAGTGTTCAGGTCTTCTGCTAGATTAAGTCCTGATCAACCAGCCGAAACTGCTGGCCACATGCAGTCTGACATACGAACTGCAACCCTGCTGATCAAGAAGCTACTTAAGAAACTTACCGCATTTCCTTATGTCATTTGCAACTTACACTTATTGCATTATCTCAGTGTACTTATGGTACCCATGCTTCTGAATGGGCGTATTTTGCACTGTTCGCCAAACCTCTTCCTTTAGTAGGGAGTGACTTTTGTGTGCAGATTCAGAATCAGTCCCTCTGGAATCATCCAGTTGCAAATTATGATTTATTTTTCTTCCCTGTGCTCCAAGGAGTATAGGTCGAGGGACTTCAAACATTATCAGTAATTTAGAGCTTGACTGAATTTATGAATTAAACTATAAACAGACATGCAGTCCAATTGTACTCACCTGTCAACGTGAAAGAGGTTCTTTGTTCCTAGGCAACTTGTCGAGGAAGGAGCACGAGGTAGCGTAGTTGTGGTAGTCGCAGAGCTCTTCTCGGGGGAGAAACTTGCACAAGAGAATCTCCTACAAGGGCTTTGGAGAGGCTCTACGCTCACCTGCCAAGCTTTCATTTTCTACCTAGAGGACGCAAACACCGATATCATGATCAGGTATTATTTTTTGAGTTAAAAGACTTTTCTATTTACTCAGCTATTACTTCAAGCTGCAATTGTTGCAATGGTAAAAAAAATTATACGACACTCATCAACAGGTTCCTTGAAGAGTCCAGGTTGTGGCATCGTCCACAGACAGTCGTGGTGTTGGTGGGAGAGGAAGACAGGATGGAAGCTCTCCTCCACCACTCTAGTCTTCGCAACTCCATTCACACACTCTACATCGCCATCGACTGGAGTAACCGCACCAAGCCACCTGTTAAAAAATGGCTCAAGGGAGGAGCTGTTAATGAAGGTAACAGCTGGCGATTATTTTCTTTAAAACTTTTACATGGTCACAGTCTACATGACAATGATAAAACTTATTTTAAGATACTAAGAACTGCTACTTACTCTAACTAGTTACCATCACTGATGCATTACTAATTATAGATCTCAAACGTAAAAATCATCTGTTCCTGAAATTTAGTCCCAGAGTCAAGTTTTAAGAAGAGTTTTTTCCGGTTTCTCCGTGGTGTAATATTTTTTTCAAGCTTGATAAATCACAACAAGAAACTTGCATTTCTTCCCTGGTTTTCTACTAGGGTACTGATTGCATATTTCGCAGCAGCTAATGGAACAGGGAATAATAATCCTAACTATTAACAAAGCTTCCATTTTGATTTTCAGATCCGTCATGACTTACCGTTTATTATCTTCCACCCCACAACCTTCTAGTTAGGCCGCTTTAAAAAGAATAACCGAAGAATGACAGAAACCTTATAGATGCGACTAACATTCACTGTTTCTTCTCTAGATTTATAGGACAAATTCAGTGAAACTTTTTCCTTGCTGCGGTTTTATCTCCTATGACTGAAACCTGCAACTCTACAAATTTAGGGACTTGACTCACGAAATCGTAATGACACGATTGCAAACAAACCATACCACGGACGGGGAGAGAACCCGCGATCAGAGTCTCAAACTCCAGACCGTAGCGTTAAACACTGGCTAACGCGACGGTCTGGAGTTTTGAGACTCTCTGATCGCGGGTTCTATCCACGTCCGTGGTATGGTTTTTTTTAGGGACTTGTAATACCAGTTAATATCCGTAGTTTAATATTCTACGATACTTATAGGAAAAGGGCATCGATTGATCCTGGGCGAAGGTTGGCGTTAGAAGGAAGATACTATATAGATTCACAAATATACATGTAAGAGAGAGAGGTGTTAATGTTTTCGTTTTTTTTATTCCAACTCACATTAGCTTAACCCTTCTTTTAAAGAAAAAGTAGAACATATCCACAGTCTGAGTTTCAAGCACTTTAAATATTATAATGAAAGATTTAAAGTGGAATTAGAATGTCACAGCAAGCAGAAGAAATACTGATTAGTTAATTGGACTACACAACGACTACACAAAGATTCATTAAGGCTGCGTGTATCCTGTGCATCAATAGTCAAGGCCACTTTATTGTATAAATATGGATTAAAGTAAATTATCAATGTATGCACGCCTCTTTCGCAAATTTTTTAAGCAGTCTCCCATAGCTTACGCTATAGACTGGTTGACTGGGAATACAACCGACCTTTTCACACGTTCTTATCGTTATAGCTACCTTTTTTTCCTGAGAGAGGGGATGACATATTTGTGTGATGTGCTAAATCATTAAACATAAAGTGTGGTGGATGATGCGCTTCCCATTATACACCATGACAATATCAAAGTACCCCAGGAGAATGCAGGGGATTCCTAGGAGACACGAGTCCCCTCGAAGGATGAAGCAGAGTCCTAGGAAGATGCAGTCTCTTGAACAATGTAGAGATTCCTTAGAAAGATTCATTGGTCCCCTAAAAAATGTAGACGTCTCGTAGCAGGATGCATGGTCCCCTAGGAAGAAGGAGCAGTTTCCTAGTAGGAGGCTAGTCTCCTAGGAGAAAGTGGAATATAGATCGCAATGTATTTGAATGACAAGAATAAAGTGAATACAGACTGAAATGTAAATTGCATGATTGAGCGTTTTCCTGTAATGAGCCCCAACCTTTTCAGAAGCAAGTTGCACATGCTTCTGAAGACGTGTGTTTGAACACATAAAACGTTCAGTCATTTTCACTTCACTCTGATGTTTCACGTCTCTGGTACTGTATGTTTACCCGTTTACCCAGCAGGAGAAACCAACGGAATGAGGACCTACCCAGCAAGAGAAACCGAAGGAGTGAGAACCTACCCAGCAAAGAAACCGAAGGAGTGAGAACCTACACAGCAGGAGAAACCGTAGGAGTGAGAACCTATAGACGGTGTCTTTACTGCGACCAAGGGGAGGAGGGCATCCAGCTCCTGCGTACACACAAGCTCTTTCCAGGTTCACTCTTTATTGCAACTGTCACGTGCTAAATTCGTAGAGAGGTGTGCAGCTCTGAGGTAATAGGATGTCATCAGGTTAGATCCATGATAGGGAAGAATAGCTACAGTTCCTTGCATCAAGATCCTTTCACCAGCATAATTACTTTCCTTTTCTTATCTACATTTTTGAGGGGGGGGGGAGGTAGGAGAGGTAAACTCATGCGAACTACACAGTGTCTGGGGTTCAGGTATGCTCGATCCAAGAAAGAGGAGGTTTGGTTCTAATTCTTGGATCAATGATCACTTGCCAGCTTCAAAAGGTAAACCTTTTGAAGCTTCAAAAGGTAAACCTTTTGAAGCTGGCAAGTGATCATTCATGCAAGGAACTGAGCTGAAGATCAATACCGGTGTTAAAGCCTGAAGCTGATCAGAAAATGCTTTCTTATGTTATCGCATAGAAACCAAATGTGAGAAAAATTGAGAAAAGGTCACCTGCCCATCCCAGTAATGCCATGGACCTTCCACTACTTTTAGTTCATTAATTTTCAAAAAACTGAAACCTATCGAACGAATTGTTCTCAGGTTATAAACAGAAACCTAAGTGCAAGAAAACTGTGTCTGAGGATAGGCTTCTTAACTGAACTGAGAGTGTATTGAGAGCATAAGGATCAGTAAGGCTGCTTGTAACCCAATCATCACCAGTCAATAATACTGTAACGCAGTATATATATATATACTCTGAGAAACATGCACCTATGAGTATTAGTTGGTTAAATGAATTTTAAGTCTATCGATTACACGAGGCTTACTAATTCGTATGTAACCTGTTCACCGCCAGTAAATTAAGCTATCGGTGTATATACACTGTACATCGAGAGATGCACAAATCTCGCTAATTACGGGCTGGGGAAGAGAAAACACATGCTTTTCACAACTCAATAACTTTGTGTATTTTAAAGATAAACAGATCATAATTTCATCAAATAAAAGACATTTTAATGCATTTTTAAAATTTACATACCTTATTTAGGTACCATCCTGTGGGAACCACATTTCTCTCACGTGTATTCAACGTCTTTGGAGTTCTGGATGCAGGAGGCTGTTTAACATGTCGACGTAGCTCGCTGGTGCTACTGCAACTGCTGTCTCCTCCTCTTCAAAAAAGTAAGGACCTACGATTCCTGTGGAGAAATTTTTCTCCAGGGGAATTATCGGCCCCTTCAGCTTTTTTCAGCCCCTTTCAGCCATGAGGGACGACTCACTCAGAAAGGGCAATGTCATCTAGCTTCTGATCAGCAGTTTAATTCGTAACACATGTTTGTACCCGGGTGCCAAGTAAGTCACGTCACCGCTGACCAGTGTTGCAACTAGTGTGGGTTAATGAGAGAAAATTAATCTCTTACCGTAGCAGGAAAATTAAGAAAAATCCTGCACCCATTTATTTACAAGCTAATGCTAGCATGAATTATTGTCTATGCCCAGTTTTGCAGTTTTGCAAGGAGGGGAAAAATGCTGATTTCAGCAGATCCTTTGTGGCAAGAGACGCCCAGAACAGCCGCGGCTGAAGTGGGGCAGGGGCCATAAGATTGCGTTATATACTGGTACAGACAACTCATGCTCCACGCTATAACGACTAACAAAGACATAATTATGCACGTGTTACTGTACCTCAGACACACAGTCTCAATATTCGCAGTAGAAAGATTACAGAGAAGCGTGTTCAGCTTCCTGTAGTGACATTACTATTAACAAAGGACAAGACTGAAAGATAGTGTGGTTTACAGTGTTGCGAACATTCGTCAGACAAATAGTGCACCATAAAACACTTCTGCTTCAATCAAGACAGTGGATATCCGGGTGACACTTAAGGGTCCGATACACATACCCGGGTAAATCTGCTGAGGCATAGTTTGGTTCAAGTGACTGTGCAGTCGAGAACTATGGTATGACCTAACCAAATTCACCAATACACCCGGTTACCTACTTTCCATCGAGCCCAAAACTGTACGTAAATAAGGCACTGTTCAATATTCAGTTACTGAATGTATATTGCCATATGCTCCTTTGGGGCAATCATGTATTTACATTTCTTTCTTTCACACAGTCCAGGGGAGTGGGTTTGACAGCTCCTCAACACAACGACTTTGGGAATGGCTGCGAAGACTTGGGCTGTCATTCAAGCTAAATCCCATTACAGTCCGTTTCTCTTATTTGGTTTAGCATGTATCCAGTTTCACAAGAATTCCTATCGTGGAGACACCGCATCACACTGTCACTTTTGAGCTGTAGAGAGGTCTTTCGTGTAGTTCTCGTGGGTTCCCCGCCACACAGTACCGACAGTTCTGTTTGTTAATACAGCCATCCAGATGGAAATGTGCTTCGTCTGTATGTAAATTTCAAAAAATGCATTAACCTTTTATTAAATGTAATTAAGATTTGTTTATCTTTAAAATACGCAAAGTTATTTAAATGTGAAAAACATGCGTTTTCTCTGCTCCACCTTGTATGTTCTAGTTCCATCGTGAGTATGTGTCCTGATCTTCAGCACTGTCATGAGAAAATATATCATTTAAGCCTTGCTAAATTCATGAAAGAAAAGCTTCATAAAACAGCGAGTTTTCAGTTTTGGTCAGTTATATTCTATTTCAAATTCAATACAGTCCTCTTAGAAAAATTGTTTGTTAATATGAAACTGTAATCTTCATACCACCTGTAAGCTACCAGGAGGAACTGAAGAAAAGAAAATTGTAGTAGGAGTCCAAAAACGATCCAAGGCTTTCTCAAAGTAAGGTACATCAGACTTCAAGGTTTTAAGACGATCAGATGAGGTATTAACAGTTTTCCTAATTTCTTTAAAAAATTAAAAACTAGTCACATAAGCAGACCAAAATCAATACAAACCTTTCCTTAAGTAAGATACACCAATGTTTCACGCTAATCAAAAGAAGTGTCTCCAGTTTGTTCAGGAAAACAATAGAATTTTTTGAATTATGTCAGTAAATCGGAAAATTAGACTCTGCTTAGCCCGAAATTTTATTATATCTTCATTTTGGTTTAATACATTAGTTTTTAAAATTAGAAAAATGTTCTGGAGAGGCAACCTCATGTTTTTTTTACATGGAAAAATACCTGCAGCTTAAAAAACTAATTAACAAATTGGCTCCTACATAGTTCAACAACAGTCTAAATCTTCTTCTAGGTATAATATACTTGTTATGAAAATTTGAAACAGATCCTAAAAGGCATTTTCAAGTAATGGACCTTGTAGAGAAAGAAAAAGATCAAATGAATTCCTACAAAATGACTATATGTCTGTTCTTGTATAGAATACATATGAACAGTGTTACCATATATAGAATACATATAAACAGTGTTACCATATAAAACATTGCTCTTTATCAATCAATATTTTTCTATATTTTCTTTCAAAATTTCCAGAGACTCTAAGGAACATGATGGGGCACAGATTTCAGGTAGTGGCAGTTGATTACTGCCCAGTGATATCATACAGGAAGGTGACGCAGGATCCTGGTGCTCCTGTGGTACCGCAGGACTCTGTCAATATTCGTATGCTGGATATCATCGCTGCTCGCTTCAACTTCACGTGGGTCTCTAACGTCTTCCAGCATTTCATCATTTTGTGTCTAATTTCCACTCATATTTTCATCGTTAATGTTTAATATAAGTTTATTTATATTTATATGTATTTATATCCTCTTTTTTAAGAAATTAATTCTGCATTTGTCTAACACAATTTTTAAATCTTTATTTTAAGTAATGGACAAATTTCTGATTTGATTTGCATTCATTCATGCTAGAATCAACAACAAATATTGTTTACTCTACAGTGAGACCTCTTCAAGGGTGGCTCCTTGACGTAGCGAAGAGGCTCTTGGTCTAAGAAATTAGACACTTTGGTGTCCTTCCTCAGACCGAACCTAATTACCCCTCCAGTCCTCCCTTCCCTAGCCCATCCTCCCCATCCCCCCTTTTTTCCCTTTCCTTCCCTCTCCCAGCACTCCCTTTTCCTTGTCCCGTTTGTTACCTCTGGGGTCCTTCCGTCTGGCATTAAGGTTTCTAGGTAAGAGGAAGTATGCCAGGGTTCATCCCGCTCCATGAGGTTTCTCGGGTGTGGTGTAGTTTGCCGTGGAATCTGAATTATCTGGAGACGCCCTGCTCCCTTCTCGGATTTCCGAGAACTGGGCAAGGTGTCCTGCAGGTGACGGGTGTATCTCCAGAGGCTGCCTGTCGGTTCTGGGAGCTGGTAGCCGAGAAAGGGATGCTTTGTGGCGGGTTTCCAACACCTTCTGTTTTGTGTGCCTACGTGACTCGGTAGATGTGAAGTTTACTGGTTTACTGGCGTGAAGAGAGGGGTATGGCTCGGGTTCCATGCTGCATCTGCACTGCTTGGGGTTTCGAGGTGCTCTCGGATGAGGGAGGAAGGGGAATTATGGCCCTTCCATGCCTTGCAGTGACTGTCCCTTCGCTGTCCCTCTTTTTTTCTCTACTTCTTTTTTTTTCTTTAAAATAACAATAAGAAAGAAGTCCTGTCATCATGGAGACTTCATTCCATGATAACCCTCCTCCTCCCAGGCTCCTTTCTGTTACCACATCCTGTTCTGACTCAGCTTCATTATTGGATCCATCTCCAGACTCTTCCTATACCCCTGTACTTTCTGCTGGTGACATTTCGTCACCTACTCCCGGTGCTGAGGTTCTGCCCGTTTCTGCTAGTGCCTCTACATCTTAAGAACATAAGAACATAAGAATGGAGAAACACTGCAGAAGGTCTACTGGCCCATACAAGGCAGGTCCTTATCAAAGCGATCTCTACCCAAAGCTACCCAAGAATTTACTCCCGTACCCAATGACACCAATCAAACCCAGCCCCTCCCACTCATATATTTGTCCAATCTCTTTTGTAAAGCTACCCAAGGTCCTAGCCTCGATCACCCTACTCGGAAGATTGTTCAACGCATCCACAACTCTGTTAGAAAACCAGCACTTACCTATGTTCTTTCTAAAGCTAAATTTATCCAACTTAAATCCATTATTTCTGGTTCTTACCTGGTTCGACACCCTCAGTACTTTATTAATATCTTCTTTGTTTATGCCCATCATCCACTTATACACTTCAATGATATCTTCGTTTGTTCTACGTCTCTCCAGAGAGTGGAGATTTAAGGCTTTAAGTCTATCTTCATATGGAAGATTTCTTACACAGTAAATAATTTTAGTCATTCTTCTCTGTATGTTCTCCAATGAGTCTATATCCATGCTGCAGTAACGAGACCAAAACTGAGCGGCATAATCTAAATGAGACCTCACTAGTGATGTATAGAGCTGTAAAATAACTTCTGGACTTCTGTTACTTATACTTCTTGAGATAAATCCTAGTTGATAAATTAGACACATGTGCAACTCTTGGGTATCTTTATTGAGGAAACGTTTCGCCACACAGTGGCTTCATCAGTCCATACAAAGGAGAATCTTGAAGAACAGGAGGAGAATGAGGTAATCAGTCCCTCAACCTCGAGTCGATGTGGTCAGTCCATCAATCTTGAATAGAATACGGCATACGTGCTGAGAAGGAGCTTATAAACCGTTGGCAGGAGAGGTGCAGAAGTCATAGGTCGTGTAACATTTGTTCAATGTTGAAGTAGGTCGTGCCCAAGAATTAGGCAAGCGAAGAATTCCCAAGTATTAAGATCCCAAGAAGTTGCAGTGTCTGACAGGTTTGTAGATGAATGGTTCAGAGAACCGACATGTTGATAAATTAGACACATGTGCAACTCAAGAGTTGCACATGTGCAACTCAAGAGTTGCACATGTGTCTAATTTATCAACATGTCGGTTCTCTGAACCATTCATCTACAAATAAATCCTAGTAATCTGTTAGCCTTGTTGCGCACACTTAGGCACTACTGTCTTGGCTTTAGATTTCTGTTTACCATGACTCCCAAGTCTTTTTCACAAGCTGTATGATCAAGCCCACCTACCTCAGGTCGGGCCGCCCGTGGCACTATGCCTAAACGTTCCAGACCATATGCTGACGACGGTTCTTCAATACCAGCTCATTCCACCCAAAAAGGGCCTACGCGACACCCACTTCCTTGACGCATCTTGTTTACAAGTACACAGTGGACTAAATTCTTTTCCCAACCGACATCTACTGCTGATTATCTTTCTGACCGTAGTGTTGGCAAAGCTTTTACGACACGTTGACCAAAATATATCCTTTCATGCTCTTCAAAGCGGTGCATGCATCGTTACAGTTCAGAATGCAGAAAAAGTTCATCATCATTCCAACCTTACTTCCATTGATAAGATCCCAGTCACAGTTCACAAGCACGCTACTTTCAATTCTTGTAGTGGTACGGTGGTTTTACCATATACCATTGTAAAGAGTGATTTTCTGTCTTGTGGTGATGATATTTTGGAGCAATTAGCCCTTCAGGACCTTCCTATTCTCAAAGTGGATACATATGTCCTGCCTGCTCACGGGCAGAGGCGCTTTCCCAATAACATCGCCTGCTTAACCTTTGACTACCATGAACTCCCGTCCTCCATTTACATCGCGGGCCATCGCCTAGAGGTCTGTAAAGTGGTCCCTACTCCTCAGCAGTGTCGAAATTGCTGGTGCTTCGCTATATACTGCAGATTTGTGGCAGAGTGCCCGATCTGTGGAGTCGCAGATCATGCCAATACATCTTGCAGTCTTCCCCACCACTTGTCTCAGTTGCAATGAACCTAATCCAGCTTTTTCCCTTCGATGTTAGGTCTATCTTAATGAACGAGAAATCCGTTGACTTAAGGAGAACAAAGACCTTACTTATGCTATTGTCGTTTCTCGGTTCCTCCTTCATGGGAATCTTCCTCGTGTCCCTTATTCTCGAGTAGCTAGGAGACCTCCAACCTCGGTCGTTCACCCACATACCAGCTCCAGTGTCGTGTCTTCCGGGGTCACCCCCGTCCCTAATTCTTTTGCGGCTTTACCCTCTGAAACTCATACCTCCTTTCCTATTCCTACCACTACTCCTTCTTGTCGCCCGTTAGTTTCTCAGTCTGCAAGGCCTCCCACGCCTGCATCTTCTTCGTGCCTATCATCTGCGAAATTGAACCTGTCTCATAAGCCCAAATCTCTTCACATTCCTCCGGTTTACCTGGAGTTTACCTGGAGAGAGTTCCGGGGGTCAACGCCCTCGCGGCCCGATCAGTGACCAGGCCTCATGGTGGATCAGGGCCTGATTAACCAGGCTGTTACTGCTGGCTGCACGAAATCCAACGTACGAGACACAGCCTGGCTGGTCAGGTACCGACTTTAGGTGCTTGTCCAGTGCCTGCATACATAAGGTAATCCCCCTTATGTATGCTGGGAGGCAGTTGAACAGTCTTGGGCCACTGACACTTATTGTGTTGTCTCTTAACGTGCTAGTGACACCCCTGCTTTTCATTGGGGGGATGGTGCATCATCTGCCGAGTCTTTTGCTTTCGTAGAGAGTGATTTTCGTGTGCAAGTTTGGTACTAGTCTCTCTAGAATTTTCCAGGTGTATATTATCATGTATCTCTCCCGCCTGCTTTGCAGGGAGTACAGGTTCAGGAACTTCAAGCGCTCCTAGAAAATGAGGTGTTTATCTCAGTAATGCGTGCCGTGAAGGTTCTCTGTACATATTCTAGGTCAGCAATTTCACCTGCTGTGCTTACAATTCCACAATAGTTTTCCTTTTCAGCCTCGGTGTGTAGTTCTCACCCCCTTTCTAACTCTCACACGAAGGTGGAGGTTCACACCCCTCATGTGGTCCCCTATTCACCTGTTCCCCAAGACTTCTTTCCCAGTTACCTTCCAGCCTCCTTCCTCTCCTGTTCCAGCGCAGGACTCTTCTATCCCTGCTGCTGCATCTCTCCCAGGTTTATACTGCCCTCCCCTTTCAGACCTCTTTGGTTCTCTCCATAGTCTCCCCGATCTCTACTTTCTTTACTTCAACTGTCTCTGAAGTCATGGTATCGGTATCTCCCTTATCCGCAGAGACACTTGACACTATCTCCGACTCTATTGCAGAGACGAAACCCTAGATGGACACCAGCGTGCGTCTTTCTCTCCCTTCTTATTTTTCACGAGATACGCAACAATCTTTTCCTTCACAGTATTCTGATTCCTCCTTGCTTACACGCTTACCATTGCCCCCACACATTGACTTCACTGACCCTAATAGCACATATATTTTATCGCTTCTTATTGTTGACATACCTGCCTTTGTGAATAATGACTTATTTATAATGGAATATTCGTGGCCTCAGGGGTAATCGAGAGGAGCTATAGGTGTTGCTCTCCCGGTTTTCCCTATTATGTGTTGGGTTACAAGAGCCCAAAATTCGTTCAGTTATTCGTCCCATTTCGGATTATGTACTGTTACATTCTTCTGATCCCTTTCCTGATGAATTATTTAATGAGAGTGTGCATCATGTGTGCGTTGGTATACCATATCAACAGGACTTTGTTCTTTCTCTGCTGCATTATACTGCACCCTGCATTTATTTGCACAGATGATATACAGCTCGCTCTCTATATCTCTCCCCTTCCCGTGCATTCTGTATCTTGGATATTTCGCTCTTGGATATTTCACCCATCTTGTTGTTAGGTAATTTT